TAAAAAAAATTAAATAATGAGTAATTATTATTTCTTACAAGCAGATTCAACATGAGCCAAACCAAACATTGCCAATATTCCTAACGCGACTTGAACAATTAAACTAATATAGATTGTGGTACCAAGACTAAATACAAAATTTAAAAGTGATTTTAATAAAGTTACATAGCATTCTCTTAAAACATAATAATAATAGGTATCATGCATACATTCCATGTGGAACTCTAAATTGTACGGTAATAGAAGACATCGCTACAGCACCAAATACTCCAACACAGAAAGCAGAAATTATTTGGAGATTTCGATGCTAATAATATTGATAATGAGTGAACACGGATGAATACATTTATTTGTTTTATGATTGAATATGGTCAGAATATGACGCATTTAAGATATACTAATAAACAAGTTGTTGCCTACCTGGAACATATATGAATTCTTATGTCTCATATACCTAACAATCCATATTGACACTATTTATTGAGCAAAGAAATGTAAGAAAATTGATATAAACTAACCCTTTTAAAACTAGTTATTATTTTCGTAAAATACCTGGGAATAAGACACTGTAAAGAAAAAATGTAATAAAATTGGAATTAAAATTCTTAAATGTAACGAAAAAGAAAATAAATGATTGCATACCACCACATTAAAAACATGCCAATTCCATGAACTAACTGCATTTCTCTGGCTTGATTAGTAACAGAACCAAAAGTTGTTGCAGAAAAAAAGTTAACACTCATAGATCCTCGATTTCCGCCATGGTAAGTTAATATACTGAAATCTGGATTGAAGGCATAAATTGCTGTAAAGGTAATTCAAACAAGTAAATTTAAAAATAATTCAGAAATAATTATTTAAAAAGTAATCATTTAAAAAAAAGTAATTCAGTTATCAAGTTACTATTAATAAATAATGATAAATAATTTACTTGTTATTGCGGAATTAGTAATTGGTCGTCGATTAGGAGCGTTAAGAGGACGTTTTACTTCTACTTGAGTGTACCCGTTAGTTGAATTTTTGCTTAAGACGGTGAGAAAAGTACTAGTTGTATCACGAATAGGTTTCTGATAAGCAGTGGGTCTATAAAGACCAACGTCTATCATAGAGCTGTTTGAAGTTACGATTATCATATCTGCGTCCTACATGTGGTTATTAAATAAGCATGAATTATAAAAATTTTGACACTATTGATGATATTGATGATATTGAACGAAAATATATATATACCAACATGCCACCATCTAATGGATTGAATCCAATACCAAACCAGGCACTTGTACTTTGCATTGTCATCAACAAATAAAGGTCAGTACCATCAATTCTCCATTGGACTTGATATGTGTTGGAAAATTTTAGAATATTTAATGGGGAATAAGAACTTGGACCGGTGGCATTAGGAGCGACAATCGGTTGAACCACCCATAGATTTGTTGGTATTGAAGATGTACTTGGAATGTTTCTAGCAATTACCATGGCCAAAGTCGTATTGTGAATGGTGTCTATTTCTGCAGCAGTAAACCCTGCAGCTGGCGATTCATACCTATCATAGTTGTGTAAATAAATAAATTAATAAAAATAAATAAATAAATAAATAAAGATAGCCAGAAATGATTAGTCAAGAGCGAAGCGGAGGATCTGCAAAGCTTTTCTGTCCATCCACCCACGTGATTATGAGCCAATCACATTTTAACCATTATTAAAAAAGATACTAACCAAAATCTATCAGAATCGCGTATATTGGTCCACTAAATAAAATAACATTATACGTAACTATTTTATTCTTTTAATAAAACATTATAATAAAATCATAAATCAAATACCTGATTAATATAACTCTGATAAAATAAAGGACCAAGATTTGAACCAGGAACATGATCTTCAGCAAGACCCCCAGGAAACGCTTCAATTTGATCAACAGTACCATACGCATCACGTAAACGTTTTTGTACATCTGGATTAGATGAAATATCAGACCAATCAAGAGCTCGATTTAAACCAAAAGATTGTTTCGCGTCATTGTATCTTGGGATTCCATGATCACGCCCTCTTATACAATCAAGACTAATTAATATTAAATTTATATAAACATTAATCAATTAACAGTTCTCATATATAAAATTTAATCAAATTTAAGTTTACAAAATCTGGATTGAAAAAAAAAAGGACGAGGACCCAAAGATTAATCACCTCACTACATCCATTAGTTCAGATTTAAACAAATAATATCGCATCTGGTCGGCAATATATATGTCAACTTCTTCTTGCCTACAAAGGTGTAAAAACAAAGGTTATCTTATAATATATATTATATAAAATGACTACGGTAGAAGATATAAATTACATTTCAAGAGCCATTGATACTGTAAAAGTAGGAACACCATATAGCTCACTATCAAAATAAACGATGTTAAAATAAGAAATCATATAATACAAATAAAACTATTAGGACATAAATAATTACAGTAAATGAGGTTGTTGAAGTGAATTTAATTGTAAAGTAGTAAGAAAATGTCCTTTGTCATCAACGATAGCATAATAATCACTTTTAATAAAAAAAAAAAATTGTTTAGAATGGTGATTAATCTTTGGGTCCTCGTCCTTTTTTTTTTCAATCCAGATTTTGTAAACTTAAATTTGATTAAATTTTATATATGAGAACTGTTAATTGATTAATGTTTATATAAATTTAATATTAATTAGTCTTGATTGTATAAGAGGGCGTGATCATGGAATCCCAAGATACAATGACGCGAAACAATCTTTTGGTTTAAATCGAGCTCTTGATTGGTCTGATATTTCATCTAATCCAGATGTACAAAAACGTTTACGTGATGCGTATGGTACTGTTGATCAAATTGAAGCGTTTCCTGGGGGTCTTGCTGAAGATCATGTTCCTGGTTCAAATCTTGGTCCTTTATTTTATCAGAGTTATATTAATCAGGTATTTGATTTATGATTTTATTATAATGTTTTATTAAAAGAATAAAATAGTTACGTATAATGTTATTTTATTTAGTGGACCAATATACGCGATTCTGATAGATTTTGGTTAGTATCTTTTTTAATAATGGTTAAAATGTGATTGGCTCATAATCACGTGGGTGGATGGACAGAAAAGCTTTGCAGATCCTCCGCTTCGCTCTTGACTAATCATTTCTGGCTATCTTTATTTATTTATTTATTTATTTTTATTAATTTATTTATTTACACAACTATGATAGGTATGAATCGCCAGCTGCAGGGTTTACTGCTGCAGAAATAGACACCATTCACAATACGACTTTGGCCATGGTAATTGCTAGAAACATTCCAAGTACATCTTCAATACCAACAAATCTATGGGTGGTTCAACCGATTGTCGCTCCTAATGCCACCGGTCCAAGTTCTTATTCCCCATTAAATATTCTAAAATTTTCCAACACATATCAAGTCCAATGGAGAATTGATGGTACTGACCTTTATTTGTTGATGACAATGCAAAGTACAAGTGCCTGGTTTGGTATTGGATTCAATCCATTAGATGGTGGCATGTTGGTATATATATATTTTCGTTCAATATCATCAATATCATCAATAGTGTCAAAATTTTTATAATTCATGCTTATTTAATAACCACATGTAGGACGCAGATATGATAATCGTAACTTCAAACAGCTCTATGATAGACGTTGGTCTTTATAGACCCACTGCTTATCAGAAACCTATTCGTGATACAACTAGTACTTTTCTCACCGTCTTAAGCAAAAATTCAACTAACGGGTACACTCAAGTAGAAGTAAAACGTCCTCTTAACGCTCCTAATCGACGACCAATTACTAATTCCGCAATAACAAGTAAATTATTTATCATTATTTATTAATAGTAACTTGATAACTGAATTACTTTTTTTTAAATGATTACTTTTTAAATAATTATTTCTGAATTATTTTTAAATTTACTTGTTTGAATTACCTTTACAGCAATTTATGCCTTCAATCCAGATTTCAGTATATTAACTTACCATGGCGGAAATCGAGGATCTATGAGTGTTAACTTTTTTTCTGCAACAACTTTTGGTTCTGTTACTAATCAAGCCAGAGAAATGCAGTTAGTTCATGGAATTGGCATGTTTTTAATGTGGTGGTATGCAATCATTTATTTTCTTTTTCGTTACATTTAAGAATTTTAATTCCAATTTTATTACATTTTTTCTTTACAGTGTCTTATTCCCAGGTATTTTACGAAAATAATAACTAGTTTTAAAAGGGTTAGTTTATATCAATTTTCTTACATTTCTTTGCTCAATAAATAGTGTCAATATGGATTGTTAGGTATATGAGACATAAGAATTCATATATGTTCCAGGTAGGCAACAACTTGTTTATTAGTATATCTTAAATGCGTCATATTCTGACCATATTCAATCATAAAACAAATAAATGTATTCATCCGTGTTCACTCATTATCAATATTATTAGCATCGAAATCTCCAAATAATTTCTGCTTTCTGTGTTGGAGTATTTGGTGCTGTAGCGATGTCTTCTATTACCGTACAATTTAGAGTTCCACATGGAATGTATGCATGATACCTATTATTATTATGTTTTAAGAGAATGCTATGTAACTTTATTAAAATCACTTTTAAATTTTGTATTTAGTCTTGGTACCACAATCTATATTAGTTTAATTGTTCAAGTCGCGTTAGGAATATTGGCAATGTTTGGTTTGGCTCATGTTGAATCTGCTTGTAAGAAATAATAATTACTCATTATTTAATTTTTTTTA